CGTCTGCGCGATACGGACCTTTGTACTCTGTGTATTTTTTTCTTGAGCTTTGGCTTGCTTTATTCTTCTCGTACATATTCCGAGGGGTTTTTCTTGTGAGTATTTGTACTTATTCACTTTACTGGGGCTTTCGTTATCCGAATTCGTTTACCGGGTCTGTGATGCAGACCGGGGCGTCCTCTCACCCGCCCGATCCAGGCGGTGGTTCGCCATTGGCCAACAATCGTCGCTCGGTTTCCCTTGAGGATTTCAATAGTTTTTTCGAGCATGCTGGTCGCGCGACTAACTCGTCGGGGGCTTCCTCGACGCAAGTGACCCAGTCCTTAGTTGCCGCTTTCCTTAAGAAATCAGATTCCGTGAAATCGGGTAGAGATTCCGACAAAGTTAAGGCCGGAATCAGATTACGCATTGAATATTGAGATTGAAGATTGAAAGATTGAAATTTGACCAATCAAAACAATAGGAGTGTCACGTCTGCGGCATTGTTAAATTTTTGTCCAGAATTTTCGCTTCCTGTAAATTGGCGTAGTACATGAGACCGCCAGGACCGTACCTGACGCCTTCCCCACCACGCGTGCCTCAGCGGAATAACGATGGAAGGGGACGCCCTTAAGATTTGCCCTCAGGGCACAAAATAGACGGCAGTCGTTAAGAAGCAGTCGTTAAGAGTCGTTCTTTTAAGTAACAGTCCTAGAGTCGCGAGTCCGGGTCCAGAGTACCTCCGAGGACATGTAAGCCTTTTGACCTTAAGCTTTCACGTGTTGCGTGCACTTTTCAAATTCTTCATCCAAGTCTAGAATAATTCTAATTCTAATTTTAAGCGTAATTCAATTCCCGCGTTAATGTAAATCATCCTTAATATTAAGCCAAAATGTTTAACCTTTGATTGTGTGTGAAGCTATAAACAATAAATTCATGTGGTTTGTTAAATCCGAGTAAAATCTCTGAATAAAACCTCCTCCATAATCCGTCGCGTTAAATCATACGAACACTTTAATTAATGAAACTCGGTCGCGTGTCAAACCGCAACCCAATCACCATGGACTCGGGAGGACCAATGGCAGAGCTGAGACACTAGGGAAGTTGGAAGCCGCCCGCACTCATTCTATCTCGACTCGTCATCGCCACCCAGAATTCATCAAAAAGGTAAGAAATTATTAACTAATCTGTTTCGATCACGACGAGCCGCGAATCCGATCCCGCGTAGCATGTGTCCGGTACACCCGCGTCCGCAATTGGCTATTCCTCGTCGTCAGTTGAGAATAGACCCTTACGTCACATGGGTACGGAGCGCCTGTTGCGCATCATCATTGTTTTATCGGGAAAACGAAAGTGGCGGAATTAAGTGCCCAGAATGTTACACCTTGCTTCCGGTCTCCGAAAAGAGTAAATATCTCGGCGTGTTACGACATTACATCCACTTAGGATTTCCCGAACGGTTTGAAAATTGTGACGCATGCTCTGTGTCGTTAACTACCGTGCATCACGTGTCAAATTGTCGCGATTGCCCGGAAATATTGGAAAGGTTCCTCTCATATCTAGATAGGACAGACGATACACCCTGGACCTCCCCAGAATCTACCATCATCACTGTATCGAGCGCACAACTCTAATTGATAATCATTAAATTGGACAAGTTAATCAGCCAATCCACTACCTCGAATATTACCTTCATACTACCGTAGTAGTCTCGGGTTAATTCGAATCTCGGCTCCCGCCGAAAGAACCCCGGGACGTAACAGGAGCTAAAATTCCTTTGTCCTCACTGGTTAAATTTTAATCTTCAATCTTCAATCTCAATCTTCAATGCGTAGTCTGATTCCGGCCTAATGCGGAGTCTACAATAGAAGTCGTAGCGGTCGTAGGGTCTTAAATCGTAGAAAATTAACTAATCACAATCGAATACGAGAAGAATAATCGACTCTGATTGGTCAGTTTTCTACGATTTAAGATCCTACGACCCCTACGACTTCTATTGTAGACCCCGCATAAGAAAAAGAAAGGTAAGCGGGGAGGTGAGGGCTCCCGATTCCCCGGCCTCCTCGCTGCCTCGCACGCGTTCGCGATCTCCATCTAAAGACGATCGCGGGCTGGATTCGGATATCAGCTCTTTGCATGATTCAAATTGTATCGAATCTATAGAGGTCAGCGAGGACGACAGTGCCTTGCCGCGGCGTCTCGCGCGCGTTGGCCCCTCCCCCTCCTCGGTGGGTGCCCCTTCGGGGGTGTCGCCGACGATAGGGGTGGGCGCCTGCTCTCGGGGGAGGGGGGAGGCTTTGTCGCTCGAGCATCCCCATGATGACGGACTTTCCGCCAGGGGCGGATCCAGAAATTTGTCAAGGGGAGGGCCATTGACGCGCCGCAAGCAAAATTTATTCAAGATCAAATATAAAATATAAAATATT